ATGTGACCTCCTTGTTCTATACTACACACACACACACACATATATATATATATACTCATGTATCTCTGTAAACTACTTGTACCTGAGGGTGACAATATCTTGTCAAAACGTCGTACATTTATAATAAAGTTTTTGATTACCAAGTCAAGCCGTCTCAAAACTTTTATTTAATATAATACTTTATATCTATTAGAACTCTAACTTTTTTTTTTCTTCTACGTTCTCATGCCCTCATCCCCGCTTTATTGACCATCGTTTACAATTTTGTAATCTCGCATAAATGTAGAGGTATAAATTTAAAGGCCTTAGTACTTATTTCTGACCCTCTAGTGGTAAATTCTCCAGGTAGTATTATACTGTTAGTGTTAGTACTTTGATTTTTACATATTACTTATCACATTTTTCTCTTGGCAAGTCGTGAAGTACATTGTACAACAAGTATAAGATATCTAATGTTAAGTAGTGGAAAATGCGGCTGTATATTTTTTTCCCAACACACTGACAATTATTTTAATTGTCTTATCTTAGGCTGTGAGTCTTTACACTTAGTTTTTAAGTATTTTTTATCGTGAAGGAGATGGGGGGGGGGGGTCAGGTAATTCATGCTTAGGCCAACTCCTTTCTGTCCGGCCTTACAGAGGGAGTTATGCCAAAAATATTTTCAACTGATGATGTTTTTTGCGTGTGTTCAGAGTTACTTCCATATCGTGATGGTCTCTTACATTAGCCCCCTATTATTCTTATGAAATCCTAGTGAAGGAGAGGTGGGGTGAGATGGTCAGGAACACTTCCTTACAACGCGGAAGTTTAACCCGTGACATAGGAAGCGGGGGGTGGGGTGCTACTTTTCAATCCGCTTCTTCAAAAATCCATCAAAATTATGAAAATTACTCACGGGAAAAGCAGGAGAATGCATAAAATTCAATCCCAGGGTTCTAAGGCGAGCCCTGGATTCCGTTTTTGGCGCACATTCCGTATGTTTTCTTGGTCGAATAAACTTGCCCCCCCCCTCCTCCCTCATAATTTTCCTCCTACACTATTGTTAATTAACCACAAATGCTATTTTTATCCTTTTAATTGACGCTTTTCTGTTTTCTTAATATTGACTTTCTATCTAAATATAAAGGTAAAATATAAATATAGAGAGGAAAGTTAGTGTTTCTGATGGATGAAATGGAATATATGGTAAAGCAATGCAAAATTTTTGTTTTAAAAAGAATTGATCTTTCCAAGAGTGCCCCATTTTTTTACTTTGGAATTTGAATCTGTCAGAGAGAGAGAAAGAAGTGAAATAAAATAAAATTCTAATATTTTATTAAATATCATTTTACGGTTGTTTTAGTACAAGTTACAACTTTTACAGTAAGGACGAATAATCATAAAGTAAACTCAAAACAAAATAATTTTACTATGCCAAGTTGAAGTTTTGAAGAAGAATAGATCATCATTCAAAAGCATTTACTTGTTAAAGGTCTTCACTGGTAGCTAATATTTTTTATGTTGTGTACTTTTCTGCATTATGTTGTGATGATATTAATTTTTATGTTGTAATTTGAAATGTGCCACTGGTTGAGCTAAGGTAAAAATTAAAATAAACTATATTTGTTGCAGCAAGTATTATTGAAGTACATGTAGTATTTGTTAAAGTAACTTGTGTGATTAAGATGACCTGTTATGACAGACATATTATCATTCTTCTTGTATCCAGAAAAAGACACAATTTTTATTATGATACTGTTTTACCATGTGAAAAAGAAACGTGAAGTTCATTGTTTGTTTCTTTTTTTAAAAAACACTTTTCTTTCTGATCTCGTGAACACTTACTTCAAAAACTTTTTGTGCTTGATATTCTAGGTAACAAATCAAAAGCCAATCATACCAGATGCAAGTTTCACTTTGGAAGCTGTGAGAAGCTTTAATTTCAAAAACTGTCCTGAACCTACACCTGTAATTGAGAATTCTGAACAAAATCCAGCAACCCAACTGAAGAATTTGAGTTTATCACAAACTTACTTGCTACCAAAAGTGACTTTACTTCAGAAGTTTCCAAGTATGAATTATATATAAAATTATTACAACAGGCAAGGAATGTATATTGACAAATGCATACACAGGCACAGCTTGAAAGCCTAAATGAACTGAAAATTAAACCCTGAGATGATAAGTGTTTTTCACATCATAGACAATTGTGTATCATATAAAGCTAAAGATCACAAACATTGAGAGTACCCTACTGGTGAATCAATGCATTATAATAATCAATAAATAAAAATAGTATATTAAACTATTTCTGTTTATTACTGTTAATTTTCAGTTCCGATCAGAAGTTAATGATAATTATAGTAGAGACATGAATGAAGTTACACATATAATCATTAATAGTCTTTTGATTTTTTACCTAAAATATCTCGCATCACTTAAGTGCTGAAACTTTGAAAGTTAGTAAAAATAAAATAACTGTATATATATATTTTTTTTCTTGTGTACATGGTATATTAAATCTATCATTATAATATTTCATCTTTCTCAATGTGCAATGTATGGGTATATTGAGAAAGATTTTCAAAAATAAGTAGAGAGAGAGAAATATTTGTTTTCTTGTTCTAGAACTCGTTTAAGAAATATTTGTTTCACCCACTACATCACAGATTTTTGAAGATTGCAACTACATTTCTTGATTATTAATATTTTTTTTCTGGATTCTTTAGGTTAAGTAATTGTTGTCTGAAGTTGAAGATTGTTTTATCTTTGTCTAACAATTCTGAATACTGACTTCAAAACATAAACAGAAATGGTATTTTGGTATGAAGAATATATTTGAAAGCAATTTACGTTGCATGTGTGTGTGTGTGTGTATACAGAAGGATCATTGTTTGGATAGATGTTGTTTTTTTTCTCTATCTTTTATGTTTGTATTGCAAAGCACAAGATCTTAGTTTTCTTTCAAATTTGGTGTTGTGATTTTATTTTTTACAGAAGAGTATCGTACCAGAGATAAAGTTCTGATAGATAGAAAAGTTTTGGTGAATGAGGACGAGGAATATAAAGATGCTTATTATGACATTCCAACACAAGATGTCACCTCAAGCACAAGAACCATTAAAACACCACCAAAATATGAGTTCACAACTGGATGTATGGAAAAAGAATTTCCATTGGAGTTACAAACAGTAAATGTTTTGGATTAAATAGTACTGTAGATAGCTATCTAGTTTTTTTGGCTAACATTATACACTTTTGACATTCAGATACACTGATATCCAAAAGGTATTCAAAAGTTTCTGCAAAACTGCAAATTGAGAACTGTTAAGTGAAAAATAAACAAAGGTGGACAGATAAATTAAGATCTTTCTTCAATGATATGTTTGTGACAAACATGGCTATTTCTCAACCTTCTTTTTCTTGGTGCTGGAGTGAGAGGCTTTTTTACACACGTCTACAAAGGACAAAGACAGCAAGAATTATCCTATATAACTCTTTCCAAATTAAACAATGGAGCCAAGTACAGAATCTTCATACATCACAGACTATTCCAAATAACATTTAAGGGGAAGGAAGTTACAATTTGTACAAGTATCTGTATTACCTCTTGAGATGCCATCCAGGAAGTGTACATCAACACAGGGCCAAATTGGTACAAGTTTCTATTTGCTAGCTAATATCATATGTAAATTTTCCTAAGTAAAATGATTAGCACATGTTTATGACTTTTGTGGTATCTGTTTCACAAGAGTGGCATAACTACATGCAGAACACTGCATGAAAAATTAAAAAAAAATATGTAAATATACATGATTAAAGATACATTCTAGACTAATTAAGGAAGGGTGAAATTCATAGCTGTTTCAACTATGACACACTTATATCAATAAACAGCTTGCATATATTAAACAATAGAGAGTGCAATTAATATAAAATTCTGAGTTTACTTTTGTAGAAAAAAATGCACATATCTTAATTTCGAACATGGCGTTAGTGAAATGAAATGGTATTGTATGGCAGGTGAGCTTGTATTTGATACCTTTACATAAAACCTCGTGATGATTATGGATGTAAATGCAGTTTTATACACTGTAGTTTTTAATGTGACTATTCAACTTACACCTAAAAGTAGTTTACCAGGGTGTTTGTTCAGTTTTTGAAGTTAGTAATGAGAAATGTTACTTTTTTTAAGACATCATATGTGAATCATGATATGAAAGTAATAACGAACTTAGTAATCCATAGTGTTTAACCAATAGTTTTAAATTCTTTATGTCCTTAGCCTTTGTGTAGTTACATGTGGGAAAATCGTTTTCCAAAATTAGTGTCACTATGCAAGTTTTTTGTGCTGAGGTTTTGCTATGCAAAGAAACTCGCTGAATGTATTTCTTTCTGTTTTTCAGAATGTTAAAGAGAATTGTGGAAGTGATTGGCACAAACCGGTGTTCCGATCCCTACACAGATTTGGCCAAACGAATTGTAAGTTAGTATAGAAAAAGTTTTAGATTGATATACTAATTTAAGCCAAGTTTTTAATTTTGTGGTTGTATCTTTTCATCTAATCCTTTAAAATTATTTACTAATTTGCTTGATTTAAAGAATTATACAATTTAAAATTTGTTCCAGTGACAATGTTAAAGGACATCTACTTTTTAAATGATTCCTTAATAATATTAAGCCTTACCTAACAACAATGGTTCTACCACTTAGCATTATATTTTACTGAAGTAACAAGATACTGATGTTTTAAATATTCAGTTAATGAAATACACAATATTGGAATGTTTGATATTTTTTGCTTTCTAATGGTAGTTCCTACAACTTGATAAGACGTACAATTTGAAAATATTCTTAACTTACTGATATCAGGTTTCTTGCTTTTCTTATTCTGATGACAGTTACATAAAATGTACAAAAACGAACAGTATGAAATGTCGTATACATTTACCTCAGTTAGTGGATTTTATAAATTATTACAGATTGTTTTCCTTGTGTTGATGGTTACTCGTCTGAACCAGAATTGAACAGAAAAGGTAAGCACCATTTATTTATATTAATGCTCGCTTCTTGTAAATAAAAAAAACAACATATTTTTGTATTCTTTCTTGAAACATAATTATATCACACAACACAAAATATCTTGCATGATAATTATCATATTTTTAAAGAAGTTCAAGCTTCATAATTAATGGAAAAATGAATTTCAATTCACTCATAATTATTTTAAATGCTTGCTAATGTAACTGAATTTGTTTTTTACTAAACAAGATGGGCCCGGCATGGCCAGGTGGTTAGGGCACTCGACTCGCAATCTGAGGGTCGCGGATTCGAATCCCCTTCCCACTAAACATGCTCACCCTTTCAGCCGTGGGGGGTATTATAATGTGACGGTCAATCCCACTATTCGTTGGTAAAAGAGTAGCCCAAGAGTTGGCGGTGGGTGGTGAAGACTAGCTGCCTTCCCTCTAGTCTTACACTGCTAAATTAGAGATGGCTAGCGCAGATTGCCCTAATGTAGTTTTGCACGAAATTCAAAAACAAACAATCTTAACCTCTACTGTGTTTTATCCCAGTTGGCCAGAAGATAGTCCTGGTATTTGGTGAAAGGTCTAATTGGCATTGGATATAGTAGACATATTACACTCTACTTTACTATCACTTAGACGTTTTTATTAATAATAGACCATAAATTTAGTATTTATAATATGCATTTTAACTTGGTTTTATTTTGGTACTTTTAAATCTCCTAACAGTTTTTCCAAACAATGCTCAGAATTCTTTGGAGGAACAGTTTTATGATCTTCTTAGTTCTTCTTCAGAAGATGATGAGGTAATTTTTTTTAAAGTTTGAATTAAAGTAGAAATAAATAAATTTGTTACACTAAAATACTAGAAAGTGAGAGGTGACCTAAATGAACCTTTAGTGCAGTGGTCTTCAGTGTTTTTATCCCTTCCATGGACCCTTTCAAGAACCAAAGACAATCTTACACACCCACATACTCACAGGTTTATCAACGGAAGCTGATCTTATATGTCTGGAACTGTCACTAACATAAATAAGTAAGTTAATGCAATTTTCAAATAAAACATTATTTTTATCTAACTGAATATAGTATTGTTGTTGTTGTTTTAACTATAATAAGGAAACAATCTTTACCATCACAGGTCATCTTGAGACAGACCATTAGATCTGTAGGGGGTCTGCAAATCTCAGGTTGAGGATTAAAGTCCTAATGTATTTTGTATCTGAATGTAAATAAATTCTGTAAAACAGGAACCAACTGAGAATCATTTCTGTACTTCTTGAAAGAGTTTTCACGTGTTTACTGTTGATCAGATGTCAGAACAAGTTACAATATCTTGAACTTTAAACACAAGTTTATACAATTTGTGTGGGTATATATGTACACATGTAGATCTATAAGTTTTTATGTTACATCATTCAGCCAACTTATTCTTTTACAATGTTGTTTAATATCTTTCCTTTATAGCAAATATTCAAAACTGCTACTGAATCTAAGCAACAGCTATTGTTTTAGAATATTTTTTTTTCGATTCGTGTATTTATCATGTTGATGATTTTTACTCATTTTATTTTATTGTCTTTTAATAAATGAAATTCTCATAAAAAAGATGATATATGTAAATATGTATTTTTATAATGTGTGATTATTTTTGATAAAATGTTTTATTTCCTGCATTAAGTCACCTAAAATTTTTTTACTTACCTTCTCTGTTTTATTATTCATTTGTATAAATATAATATTTCATTATTTTGTCTAAAAATCAAATAGCTTAGAAAGAGTGCATGAAATTTTAAAGAATAACTTAATTTTAAATATTTACTTTTATATTTCGTTTGTGCAAAAATTTTACTTCACAGTATTTATCAGTTGTGTGAAATATTAGATTTTTCACTTCAAGTTTAATAGTCAAACTTATGTTATTGAATCTTTAGTTTAAATGGCATCGAGGAGAGGAAGAATGCCAAAAGCCAATAAAAGAGTTGGATATGAGAAGACAAAAAGATAATTTCATGTAGGTTTAAATTATTTTTGGTATATAATAATGGATACTAAAGGTTTTCATATCTCCATGAACTATAATCAGTCCTACATTGCTCTCCCAAAACATTTTATATTACAGCTGAAATAAAAAAAATTGTTTTTCTCAAAATTGACAGATTTTATGGAATGTTTCTATAGATTAGATTATTACATTGTATCATTGAATCTATTATTTTAATTCTAAATTTAAAAAATATATACATATAACATATATGTATATATATATATATATATATATATACATTAAGCTATTAAGTTAACACGATTTTTATCATCTACCAATTAGTGCTAGCAACAGCAAGCATGACATACCATGCAGTTGATTAATCAGATGTCACAGTCTACTAATATGGTAATTGTGCTATTTACATATGAACTTCAGAAACAGTTTTTAAAGTAATTAAGGCTAAAAGTAGATGCTTAAATTGTTGTTTACAGAATTAGATATCACATATTCTGTTGCACTTTTGAGAGAGAGAAAAAAATAATGAATACATTTTACAATTCACTCACCAGTGTAAGGTTCCTTAAAAACACGAGGCCTTAAGCAGTTGCCTGTCTTGCTTGTGTTTAAAGCTGATAATTGATAGACTTCTACCAATTACTCTCAATTATCATAGCAATTTTCTTTACTTTTTTAAAGGTCATTGCCTCTAAAACCCTTAGCTCAATATGACGATCTCCACGAATCTTCAGTCACACTACCACGTAAGACTTCTGAGGTTTGTGGTATAGCTCATGTGCTTTTCAATTTTACAGCCAAGACTCCAAGGTGAGATTTATTAGTCCCAATTTCTCTTCTTTTCAATTAATTATCGTAAATTACATATGGTAATTAATGAAAGAACACATGCCACAGTGTAAACATTTACCAATAGGGCAAAATAATTACAACCATTCATTTAAATAAAGAGGGATTTATAATTGAATTACTCAACAACTTTAGCAAAATGAGAAGTTTATTTTCTTAACTATCTGTTACAAGAGTTAATTTATAAAAATGATGCCCCTGCTTTTTCCCTCATCTCAAATTATTAAGGTATTTCTTTCAAATTCTGCCTCACACTTGAATATTGCTTATAGCTTAACTTTTGTTTTTTACCAGTCAGTAAGGGATTTTTAATTGTTTACATAGAATATTCTGGCTGTTTATTAGAGTCAGTGGTGAAATTTTAATTGTATGCTGTATTATACAATTATTTTATTACAGTCAAACTCCACTTTTCTCTGTTTTCATTCATGGCTCATCTTGCCTGTCTTTTGCCATATTAGACATTTTTTTCCTGATCTTTGTGCAAGCAATAAACTCTCAATGTGCTATTCAAAGCCAACACTTACTGGTGTGTGAATGTTCTCCTTTTTTTCTTATAACTTAAAAACTCTTGTCTTGTACATGTTAGGTCTAAAACTGTTGTATAAGTAAGAAATGGATGCAAATAAGGTTGAGGAAAGTACTGATTCTTTGAAGGATTATGGGAAATGTCTTGTAATACATTTATCATTTTCTTACATCTTTTCGAAGTCACTGACCATTACATGGGTGCCAGGTGGTGGAGTATGAGGGGCATTAACAATGTTTTTGTTTTTTTAAAGTTATTGATATTGAGTCATTTCACTAGATATGTGTTGAGCTTTAGATATAAAGCTATACCTTAGGAAGCTTAGGTCAAATTCTTATAGTTACTACAAATATAACAGATTATTTATCCTGCGACACATGAAGCCTAACTTTAAGCATAGATGATGTTACGTTTCACCATATGTGTTTATGATAAAGATAAGTGAAATTTCTAGTTTCATGTAATCCATAAAACAAATTAGTACATACACGTTAGAATTTGTAGTCAGAGTTACAAGGTGGCATAATAAAAACTAGAAAGTTTTATGTCCATTCATCCTTTATTTCTAAATTTGTCAGTGAACCTCTGGGGACAAACCTTTCAAATGTCCTTGGTACAGTTGACTCAGTATTCCATCCATGTGCATAAATCTGACCCAGTATTAAACATATACAAAAAACAATTCTTCAATATTTAACTATTAGTTTTCTGATTGACATAAATCCACACAATATCTGAAAATAACAAGAAGTGTTTATGAGTGTATTTCATGGGAAGATACAAATATCACATAATGCATACCACACACATAAAGTAATGTTACAATCTATATTGTATTGACCAACTCTTTGCAAGTATGCAGATAAGTAACGAAACTTGAAACAATAGCTAAAATTTCATTCCTTCACAGAGAGCTGTCCTTGAACAAAGGGGATACTGTGTATATAAACAAGAAAATCGATAAGAATTGGTATCAGATTGAATACCATGGAAAGACTGGCATTTTTCCTGTGAAATATTTAAAGGTAAAATTTTATAAAATTGACAATAGATGATTTTATTGTTGTTGTTTTTTGTTTTCTTTATAGCTTTGAAGAATTATTTGGTTTGTGTGAAAACTTAATCTTATAAATTCTAAATACTCTACAATGATTGGAATGAAAAATATTTGTGTAATTATAACAGGTTTTCGGGAAAACTTTCTATTTTCAGTCATGATGCTAGAAAAACACATAGACCTTTGAAAGTGCTCGGGTTATAGGGTTTTTATTCATTTCTATTTACAGTCTTATTGTGATATGTGTAGATATTCATGTTAAAAGACTAATAATAGTTTCAAACGTTTATGATTGATAAATAGAAATTTTTACACTGCATTTTTATAATTATATTTTTCAATTTATACCTGACAGCATAATCAACATATATAAAAATGTTTGGTTTCAACATTACACAAGTTTTTTTTTTTTTACTTATTTATTGAAACTGGATTAAGTCAAACAGAAAATGTTATATAAAATTATAGTTTGTTATGTTTCTGTAACTGATATTTTTCTGGACTCACTAGTGCAATGATTTTTCACACAAGTTTAATGTTCATTGATTGTATATTAAGCCTAGAATATTAATGTTTACAATAATTAACATTGGCGCTACTAATATTAGAATTACTTACTGTCCTTAGTTTAACTAAATTTTAAATTTAAGATGGTCTTAAACAATTATTGGATTTACCAAAAAATTAAATTTTAGAGGATGAATGCAAATTGTCAAGCATTTTGTATAAAATTAATCTATTATCCCAAAAAATTAAGGTTTTAGATTGTCATAAAGAAACAATATTTTGTGAAAAATTACAATGTTTTTATATCAGTCTCTTTTTTTTTTTCCAGGTCATACCACTAGAACCTCAGAAAGCCATAGAAGGGAGGGCAATAGTAAAGCTCAACTTTAGTGCTCAGACTTCTATGGAACTTTCTCTGCTGAAGGTAATTTCAAGAGTTTTTTAAACTAAAGTTTGAACTAGTTACATATAAGTTCTTTAAAGATTTTTTTTCCCATGGATTTTCTTGCTACATTTGTACAGAATAGACTATGTTTTTGATACATTTGCCAGCTTTTTTTTCTCTAAGTTAGGGTTAAATGATTAGGGTTTGATTATTTCTGTTTTACTTTAAAATAGTACATTAAATAATTATTTCAAAATTTTATTTCAAATTTTATCTAAATGTAAGCTTTTTGCTCTTACATAAATCATTACAATAAACTTGGTTTGTCAAAGTACATATGCTTGTAGTTGAAAACATTTTTGATTATATTTACTTGATATGTACAATACACTTTGTGATTAGTTATAGTAAATTTTAACGAAAAAATGCACAAAGACAATATAATAAGTAATGATTTAGATATGAAGCTCAAATAGTGTACTTCTAATAAAGCACTGTCATTAACGCTTCATCTTTAATAAATATCACAAATGGTAGTCATGGGCTCTCTCACAACTTCTGTAAGAAACTGAATATATTAATTTATATACGTCCAGTCTAGAACTGGTCTTGATATTTACATATATCTGTTTAAGGGAGAAACTGTTATTTTGACTGGAAAAGTGGATCAGAACTGGTATGAAGGAAGAATTGGATACAAGAAAGGCATAGTGCCATCTGCATACTTGGAAGTATTATGTGAACCTAAAGATATGAGTGAGTTTGGGAAATCAGTTTCATGAAAATGTCGGATTAAGTGTAACGGGCTATACCAGAATGATTCATTCATAACATTTCCATCACTCAACATAACATAGTTGCATCATTCACTCATTGGTTTTAAGTCTGTTAAATCTTTATTAACAATCAGACTAACATTCATATATCCCAAATATGAGCTCAAAATAATTAATTTGTATCAGAAATGTTATTGTTTAGCACAACTCATACAAGCTTAAACATTCAACTTGTGTAAGTTTTAACTTGATGTTCTTACAAGAATTAAAGTGATGTAAAAATTGACATACATCTAAACTAAAGATTTGGAACCATTATAGGGTATATCATAATTAGACAAGTATATTGTTTTCCACACTTACAGTTTAATAGTATATTATAACTACGGATTGTTAGAATATAAACCATGTCTAGAGTTTGTGGGTATTTCGCAACTACACATAGTTACTTATTCAGGTGTTACCTAATAAAATTGAGAGAATGGTTTCACTTAGATAAAATATCTGAACTTAGAAAAATTAAATGATTAAATAAAATAATAGTACTTCTCAGCAATGATTACTTAAAACAGTTCTATGGAATTGTTCATGACTGAGTGTTATCATTCTTGCTGAATAACTTGCTCCATATGATGTGTTGTTCTGGAAGTACGAATTCCACATATTACAACACATATGATGTTTAGTTTGAGCAGCAAATCATGCTAGCTTTCTGAACATTTCTGCAATTAATTATTTAGAGTTTGATATAACCTTGCACGATAAAGTTATAAGATTGAGAGAAAAAGTCTATCTGAACTTATTCATTATTCCAACTAAGCAAATGCTCTATTTCATTGAAATAGGTCAGAATGCTTAAAATTGTAATAATTTTACTTCCAGATGATGGTTCTTTACCTCCAGAATCACTTGGCCTTACTTCGAATTCTAAGTAGTAAGTAAGACAGGTTTGGAGTTCTTTAAACATCTGTTTTTATTAAAATAATTGTCAGTTTTCTTTATTTAGAATTTCAATAGCTTTTAATTGACAATGCAGTGGTCAGTTTTTTTTATTTAAAATTTCAGTAGCCTTTAACTGACAATGCAGTGCCAGAATGCTACAAGTTCTTGAAATACATATAGAATGATAGGTTTCTTTTTTGTGAGTGTAAAACACTTCAAGTAAACTTGAATAAAGTACATTGTTTGTTTTTACCATAGATTTAACCAAGTAAATTGTATTTTCATGTATTTTATTTTCTCTCTATTAAGTATGATTTTATATTTATTAATTGCCACATTAATCTTTAGAACAAAACTTTTTCAGGAATTAATGTTAATGCAGCCCTATCAAAATTAGAAACATTCGTTTTACAGACTAGTAAAATATTTTTTTGGATTTTAAAGTAATTTAACTACGACATGATTTCACTGGAATAATTATGAAACCTACAGCTTGTTTTAAACCTTGCATGCTTGACTAAAGAAGTTATTCAGATTGTGAACCATTTTTAATCAAGGTCATGCCAAGAAATTTTCAAAAAGAAAAATCTGTATGTATACATTACATATTTACATTTAAGTATATAAGTTTAAAAAAACATTTTATTAGTTCTTTACCTCAAAACTATTTACAATTTACAAAACAATGTCATTATTTCAAAGTTATATAAAAAAAAGTTCCAATTTATTTTTGAAAAAAACTTTTGTAGAGGAAGTTCACTGTATATATATAATTTGTAGAGGAAGTTCACTATATATATAATTTGTAGAGGAAGTTCACTATATATAATTTGTAGAGGAAGTTCACTATATATATATAATTTCTCATATGCTGTGTTCTCATGTACATATCTTCAGCAGGCAGCCCGGCATGGCCAGGTGGTTAGGGCGCTCGACTCGCAATCTGAGGGTCGCGGGTCCAAATCCCTGTTCCACCAAACATGCTCGCCCTTTCAGCCATGGGGGTATTATAATGTGATGGTCAATCCCATTATTCGTTGGTAAAAGAGTAGTCCAAGAGTTGGCGGTGGGTTGTGATGACTAGCTGCCTTCCCTCTAGTCTTTCACTGCTAAATTAGGGATGGCTAGTCCAGATAGCCCTCGTGCAGTTTTGGGCGAAATTCAAAACAAACAAGAGTTGCTATGGATCATGTAATTAATGTATTAAGAAATACATACTAATTATTCTAATAATTTGAAATAGCCATGTATTACTACAAATTTAATACCTTATGTTACAATTTGTAGAATTAGGTATAGTACCAATCTATAATAAAGTTGTAAAAGCAAACCACAGTATTAAGTATGATTCCTTAAATTAATGATAATTTTTTTCATCTTTGAACTGATACTGCTGTTTTAAATTTGACCTATGGAATATTTTCATGATAAAATATTAAATTCAGTGCATATCTATTGTAAAAGAAGGGTCGGATGTAATTAGTTGTTATTCCTAAACCTAAAATTTGTAAGTTGATCATATAGAAATTGGCATATATTTTAGTGGCAACCTTGATCAAGAGGCCAATTTCCCATATAAAACTTTACATAAGTTTTAGGGGGTTCAGTCTCCTGCTGTGAAAAAGAAATCAAATTCCCAAAATATTGTTATGAGGTTAATGAAAAGTCTTCCAAAGTAAGGCTAGTTTTGCTCAGGACCATTACATTTTGACTTAGATTTGCACTGTTTCAGAAATATTTAATAAATTAATCCAAAAAATATGGTATTCTAAGATTGTCCTGATTTTTCTCAAAGTAGTCTGCAGAAACTGAAAGAAAATAGAAGGAATCTTGAGATACTGTATTAACAAATCAAGCCATGTTCTCTCTACTTTTGACTGATTCTTTACACAAAAGATACTTCTTTATTGTCATATACAGAATATAATGTTTATGGTTAAAACATTTCATCAGGTTAACCTGGCATCATCAAGTACAACAACTACAAGGAATGAACCGGGTTAGCTATCGTAACCACAGATATTATATTCTGTATATCTTACAGTAAACAAGTTTTACATAACAGGGGACTTCCTCTAATTATTTAATCACAAACTTTATTGCATTAAATAACACGAGCAAGGTTAAGTCTAAATACATGGACAAGTGTTTGTGTCTTGGCTGGGAAGAGAGAGAGTTTTATTGATGCTCTTTCACTAGTGTAATAATTCTAGCTCACAAGTGCTGGAACTAAAGTTTCACTACACACAATCTATGTGCTTAAAGATTTCTTTCAGTCTGGCTGACAAAGAATTTCTATCTGCTTTTCAAACAAGGGTGCATCAATATATACTTCATAAATGCTTCTGTGTATCTCTTAAAATGCTTCTAAGCAAGGATGCTTTGTTTATCTCTTAAAATCCTTACAAAACAAAGGAAAACATTACATTATATACAACTCTCCCTTCTCAGGCATACATACTATCCATATGACTTGGACCACTACTTTAAGTCATAGTGTAGCTCATGCTACAGTGATCTCTTCAAAGGAAAAACATGTGGGACAACCCCATGAATATTCAGGATGAGAGAAACTTTGTAGTTCCCTTTGCCGATATTCGATATTAAAAGTAGACTTGCAATACTGAAAATTTAAAAGTTATCTAGCAGCTAAGGGGTAGAAAACACATATGGTATGCCCACATATTGCAGGAAGCACTGCGATTGGTTTGGCCATTTCATTTATTAATAAATTGTAGTCCTAAATAATTATCAGATTAATGCTTATATCATTTTTTGTGTAGTTTAAGGGTAAACCTAGATACATTATTAAAGAGCTGTTAACTTGTGTATATTTTCTAGCACAATAACTCTGAATGGCTTTATTAGTCCATCGGAGAATACAAGCTACGAAAGAGGTCATATAAATCTCTGTTCTCAAGTTGAAGTAGCATCTATGAAAAAGGTAAGAGGATCTTTTATATAGTGTTAGTTAATACTTTTCCAAATATTACTTTAAATTAATAATTCAGTATCTTGTTACACAATTTTCAGGTCTCTTAAAGTGACACGAATATTCAATTTATCACATATGTAGGTGTAAATATTTTAAAACATTTCAACTGTACATTGTTTTATCTTTCAGAAAACTCATGTCAAATCATCAGGTAACCCTCCACAAGAAGAAACAATACATCCTGTAAAGGAAACCATGCAAGTGAACACTGATGCTGAACCTCTCTTGTTAGTGAATAATACGTATTAGTCAGTAGTAGTAGAATCTGGTAACTTGTCTAGTTCTGAAGAATAGTTTGGAAACTAACAAAATATTGTGTAGTAAATGGGATAATGCTGTCACTTTGGAAACAGCAGATTGGAAGTTTTATATGTCATATTATCAGCATTATATTATCATAGTTAGTAAGCAAAGTGCTAGAATATTATTCTGTAGATTAAATTACAGTTCTATTCGTATGTGATACTTCCTTCATGTTTTATGTGTGGTATAGTATTTTAATGTAGTTTTATTTGTATTATATCTAACATTATTTTATTTCAATTATAGAGTGAATGTATTAATTTATTATTTTGTATCTTCATAAACATCAATTGTTGATTGTAGTCTTGGTAACATTCTGCTACTTGATTCCATGCTGAAACAGTAATGTGTGTCATAGCAAGTTATCTGGGATGCCACGCTCGTCTGAAGTTAAACTGTCGGAGTTGTTTAATAGATTTATATTGGGCCCAAGAAGTTTCTAGGAAAGGTGTTTTTTCTTGTAAACTGATGTTACATTGTTCAATGAACAATAAATGTACAACAGTAATTGAATCCAACAGCTAGTGTTAATGTGTTCCATAATTAAGGTATACTCTATTGCTTCTTCCATTGACAATATTGGTTGGAATGTTTAGTATATCTAGTTTTATTATTTTTGATTTGTTCTAATTATAACTTATTATAGATTGTTTTGCATTTTAGCTTAATATATATAGTTAGGACTAACCTAAATCTCCTAATCTGGCCAAACACTACCAGATATTATTGGGTTTATGTCCAAAAATGCTGTTAACAGTGAGGATACCGAACTAATTTTTATAAGTAAGAAAAGAATATTTAATTACATATACTCATTCCCGAGTTAATTCTTATTTTCCCTCAAAGTTTATAGCTTCCTCTGATTGGATGTTAATATTAATTTTATTGATCTAAGTATAGTGTATTTAAGTCTGTTATTTATTACATATAACCTCAATAATTGATTAAAAAAAAAGTACTTTTAGCTTTCTTTTAGTATTCAAACAAGACATCTGTTATGTCTTTGCCAATTACAGTTTTTCAGAAACATATTTGCTGAGTTCCATTACTGCTAGATATTTTACAGTAATACAGATTTTAAGTAAAGTAATTCTTCCTTTATGCATTTTTAATGAGATTATTGTTATGGAGGATTCTAAATTATTACTTGTTCATTTCTTACAAAATACTATTAATGTGTAGAAATCTTCATTGAAAATGTTTATATGTTGTGTTGTAACAAATGACAGATCCTTACGTTGGCCTTTCATGATTCCAGCTATTGAGGCAGCTTTTTAATGCTATGAAACTGTCAGACGGTCTAATAGTGGAAAAAACTTGAGGTTCTTTGGAAATTTATTATATTTAATTAAAAGTAAAAGAGATCAGGGTTATTAAGTTGTTTATAATAAAGAAATCATAGTTATTTAATCATTGACAAAAAAAAGTTTAAAGTTAGTACACAGAAGGAAAATCTAATTTGCAGAAAGAATATCAGGAAATTATTTTAAAGTCATTTATGTTCCTTAAATTAAAAGGTTGTTTAGAAAAAATATTAAAGTACATTTTTAAAGTCAAATTTATATGTTGAAAAAATTGAAGAAACTAAAGAATGAATTGTAACTTTGTGCCAAAACATTAAAAACTAGTTAAATACTTAGTTTAAGGTTCATTTATAACTGTTTAGAGCAGTATTTCTCAAACTCTTTTAATATCATTCACCCCTATAAGTTTTTCACAACAACTCACTCACCCCAGTTCGAAAAAAGACAACAAAAATACTAAATTCTTTATTATGACTGAAATATACATCGAACTACAACTGGAATGAATACAACAGAAAATAAATATATTTATCAAAGTTTAACTAGAATTAATAATAATAACTAATAACTTTTTTTTTCTGTTGAATTTGATGTATATTCGACAACATTCATTCACCCTGATTCTGATCTCGTTAAATTCTGGGTGAACCATTCACCCAGTTGAAAAGCACTGCTCTAGCTAGACAGAGTATCATTAGCATAGTCAGCTTTGTGATGATAAAAAAACATTTACTTTACAGTTACCTTCGGCAAAGAAATCTACTCTACAGATACTTTCTGCAAGTTAAAAAACAGTTTTCTTAGGAATATTTTGTAGTAGTTTAACACACTTATTTTTGCTATTTTTCATTTTACAAACTTGCATTCAGATGTCAAGCGATATACAGCTATACTCCACAATATAAGGATGAGCTACAACTTCATGAAGGAGACACAATCTTTGTGATGAAAAAGTACGATGATGGGTGGTACGTTGGTATCTCTGTACAAACTGGACTGTTTGGAACTTTCCCGGGAAATTATGTGGCACAAATCTGGTAAGTTTGGTTGAGTAAGTGCCAAGAACACTTTGTTTTTACATTCCAGCACTTAAACACTGTGAAGTGTCTTGATTAAGTTCCTTACTCTTTAGCATCTTATATAGTTCATGGCTGCATGGTAATTGTTCTTAATCACACTCATTGGTGAATTAATTAAGGTAGTTGAAAGTTTGGAGAAAGAAGTGCAGCAGTAAATGAGGGATGTTAGTAAATTATATATAACTAATTATAATTGGGATCTGGATATAATTTTTGCCAATTTTTTTGCAACAGAGCATATTCATTGGGTGTATCTTTTTATAATGCTAACTTACTCAAAGTACTAACACTAAAGGAAATTTAAAAAATATATAAAATGTGAAGGTGTGATATTATAAATCAGTTGTTTATACATAAATATTTGTGTACGTACACAGAGAAAGGCAGTAAAATATACAAAAGCTTATTCTCTTGGCTACTCACTCTTAAACATTTTCTTTATAAAAAATACAACACAACCAGCAAAAGCTAGTGAGAAATATACGTCAAATCATACATGTGTAATAAAAGCAGACACATTTCTAACAGTGATACTATTTGAGGAGAGTTGAAGGTTTTTTTTAAGTATTTATTTTTTTTATTGACTGGTTTGATGCAAGGTAACACTCTACATATATTATATCCATTGAATAGTTTTATAATTTTGCCACTGCTTAGCTAACCAGAACAGCAATCTCGAGGAGTCAGGTTAAGATACAACTTATAAATTTACTCTCTGAGAAATAGACAACAGAATGTTTATAGTTTCTACTTGAGATGACTTTGTCTTCTTCCACCTCCAATCCTACAAGGTTTTCATGTAATGGTTTTGCATATTCTAGTAGTTTCTGTTTTATAATTCATCCAACTCCTATGCTCTTGTAAAAGTGATCAAGAGTCCAAGTTAGTAAAATGAAGGGAAATTCCACACCTGTTAAGTTTCTCTTTTAATTTACCTGCAAAAGAAAGATAGTATGAATGTGTTTGAGGCATATTCCAACCTTATGAGTAAGGCAATTCAAAATTTTTTCATAAGCTTTAGTTTATTTAGAGTTTTTGTGAAATGTTACACAAAGTTTATCTGTGAATAGCTATATTTATTTGTTGAATTTTGCTCAAAGCTACTCGAGGGTTCTCTGTACTAGCTGTTCCTAATTTAGAAATAATAGACTAGAAGGAATGCAGCTAGTCACCACCAACTGTTGGGTTACTCTAAACAAATGATGGGATTTACCATCAAATTATAATGCCCCCATGGTTGAAAGGGCAAGCATTGTCGATGATGGGATTTGAAATCGCAACCTTCAGCTTGCAAGTTGAAAAGAATAATTAATTCAGAAAATACACTTGGAATAGCAGTATTTGTTGTTTTGTTAGTATAAAGCTACAAGAAAAGCTATTTGTACTCTGATGGGAATCAAACCCAGGATTTTTAGTGTTGTAAATCTGTAAACTTACTGTTGAGCTACTGGGGGATTATTATGCATAGACATTCCAAATTTTGAACTTATAGATTATAGGAAAAGCAGCTAGTTAATGGCACCCACCACCAACTTTTGGGCTATTCTTACCTGACCAAATGGTGAGATTTGACTGTCACTCTTATAGCACACCCATTACTGTAAAGTATGAGATGCAAACCATGAACCCTGGACTCACAGTATGAGTTAACCACTAAACTATGGCCAGCTCTTTCTTCATTAACAGTGAAAAAAAAAATGTTCAGCCTGTTCCCTTAAACAGGAGAGCTTTACTGAGTCTGTCAAAAAAAATCTTTGAGGTAAAGAATGGCGTATCAACTGGAATTTTACAATCAGTTTCAGCCTGAACATTTTGGTTTTCTCATTCTACCTGTAAAAAAATATTTCATTAATATTAAAGAAAAACAAAACTTACAGTCACTAGTTACTCAACAGCATGTGTACGTAACAATTCATTCAAGTAATATCTGTCTTTGTATTTTATGTGAAAGGTGTTTTTAAGTTATTTCAAAGCAAACAAGTGTTTAAAAATGAATAACATACAAATTTAAACTTTCCTAAAAAATACATTATCCAAGGGTGTCAGTTTTATTAGTTTCTTTAAATGCATACTGTAAAATATTAATTATAAATGGTGAAAACTAAATATTTATCAGATTGCTGATTGTGGTAGTTATTTTAACTTCTCACCAGAGCCATCGTACCCGAGACCAGAAGTTGTGACAGCATAAACCAACGAGGCTGGTAACGAAACAAGTTTGGTTCCCATCTCGCCTTGATACCAGTTTGAAATTTTTTATATATCATTCTAACATTGCATTAAACAAATAAAGTTGTACTTAAGATCACTGCAGTAGTTTAGAATGTACCGTAGATAACAGTGTTACACTGTACTTTCTTGTGTTAAAATAATCAAGAATGCTTTTCTCTCTCTGCAGTTTTACTGTAATTCTTTTCTTCCAATTTCTGATAATACTGAGAAAATTTGTATCTGTTTTAGTTCGTGTTATTATATAGTTTGACCAGTTTTTGGAAATTCCAACATTTTCTTTTTTTTTGAAAAGCAGGAGTTTGTTTTTTATAATGACTCTAAGATGTACTGAACAGGGAAATAATCATCAATGATAGTAATTAAGTCACGTAAGACAAAATAAATAAAAGAATTCATAAAAGAAGAGAGAATTCCAGCAATTTTGGAAAGTAGCCCTTCTGAATTTCTTATTTTGTGAATTAGTAACAGTATTAATTCTTATTGTATTTCACTAGTTTGTTCAGTTTTAAACTCCTTAGCAAAATGCCTAACAGTGTCTTTATTAAAATCTGGAAAATGTGTCACTATTCTCGTCTGCTTGTGCCACATGAAACCAAAGTTCAAAAGCACTGGTCCTATGTGCTTTGCAAAGGCACAGCAAGGATCTAACTAATTTAACTTTAGATAAAACATGAGAAATCAAACCATGTCACACAATTCCCAACATTCAGTATACAAGAACTGTGTTACACAAAGGCTGCTTGCAAGTCCCATGGATACAAAGGTCAACTTTCAAATAAAGTTGTGAACATAGTGATAAAATAAACTGAAATGTTTGAAACTTTATTTAACATAGATAAAATATTACAATAATATCACAATATTTATAATTATGATTGTGAAATATCTAAATGTCATGAAAGAGAAACAAAAAAAAAAACTCTAAAAAATCAATCTAAGTACCATGACTACAGGTTTTACCATATCACTTCCAACTTTGTTAAGAAATTTACATTCACAAAAGTGTTTAAGAGGTATAATAACAGATTTACACCAAAAATAATATAACAAACATGAAGCCCATTTTCTAACTATACATAGATGTGAGTATATTACTATTGGTATTACCGTGAAATATTTCTTGTTATGGCAGCACTTCTTAACAACTGCATTCCTATAAAGAAATCAGAAATGTCTCTCAGTAAGGCAAAATACAAAGGAAATAAATGCATAAGAAGTGTGAACAAAATAAACAACAACAAAAAATTGAATACGTACATGTATATATATATATTCAGGGGCATTGAGAGCCAACCCAGGTCCCGGGGTCAGTTATATCATTGGGCCCCTCTTTCATTCTATTTATTAACTTTTGCTGATTTTTCTTTTTAAAAGAAATTTAGATGATAAATTTCTTCATGAATCCATGAAAAAGCA